GAGACAGCTTGAGGCTCTGTCTCAAAAAAAAAAAAAAAAAAAGAAAAGAAAAGAAAAGAAAATTATATTCTCACCAACACTCCCAATGTTACACTGTATCAAGATCCAGCAGTACACATAACCTGAAAGATGAGTCAAAAGAATTCTGGTCAACCATCAACAATTGGTCCAGTTCATCATCATATGATATGATCAAAATGTCTCCCAGAGCATTGCAACTCAGGCCTGCAGGTTTCCATTTAACTCTATCACTTTCCAAAAATAGGAGTGGCCTATACCCGTTCAGGCACCAGACACTGAAAATGTTTTGTCTTGAGGTATCTACTACTTAGAATTAACAACTTATGTGGGCTCAGGCAATCTCATTTATTCCAATTTAGCAGGTCAACTCCATATTGCCTGAAGGACAGACTTACCAGCCTTCTTTTTTTTGCAATACCATTTAAGAGAAACTTTCCTCAGGGAGACACGATATCCTCCCCCACAGTACATTCATAGGAAATGCAACCACATTTTTTCCTTTTGCCTTTGGGCTTGAACTGAAACATTGGCTTTTGTGGGTCTCTAGCTTGCCAATGCACTCTGTGGATATTGCGACTTGCCAGCCTTCATAATTGCATATGACAATTCCTTATAATAAATCTCTATTGTTATGGCCATTTGTGGAAAATAAAATTTTCCACAAAAAACAAATCTAAAAATGATTGAAGGTGATGCCCCCTGGGGAATGGAACTAGAATTGAGGAGGCCTTGAGGGGAGGCAACTGCTGAGCTACATCCCTAGTTGAAGTGGTACTGAGGCTGTCTCCATGCTCTATCATGATGGTTCTTATCAGATGTCTGTTCACCAGACCTGGCAGATTTTGGGGTTGTGCTAATGAAGTAGCCCCTCAGTGAGCTGAGCAGTCATTTGCTTTTGTCCTAGGAACCCCATCACCAATGATTGCTTAAGATCTCTGTGGGTAAAACCATTCTGATGACCACAGCAGCCCTACAGCCTAACTGGTGCCCAAGTGCACTGGGTATGTGCTGGCCAATTACCACTATTTGGCTTTTGCAACCCAAGGATCTTTCCAGCTCCAGTGAAATCAAAAGCCAATAATAAAAAATAAAGCACTCTATCCACCTGCCAAAGGCTTGAATTCTGGGTCTTTTCTAGGAACATTGTAGCCCTCTCATATGATAAATGCATTCCAACATTTATATTTCCTAATGATGGATTCATTCTTCTCATTTGTATGTTGTTGGAGTTCAGAGTCAGAGAGGATCTACCGTTGAGTTCAGTTTGTTCAACCTCACAAAATCACGGAGCAGCTCAAACCAAAATAACTCAAAACAGAATCCCTGTTGATTGAACCCAGTTTGATAAACCAAATCACATTTGAAACTTGATTCTCCTTTTCCTTGATCAACATAACTTTTTGTCACACATGCTCCAGATATTTGCTGATATTCAGAATCCTCCAAATTCTCACAAATACACACATTCTATATTCTGAAGCCTGTTCCTTTTACTACTAAATTTTCTTACTTTCACATAACAAAACTTGGTGAATATGTGTATTCAAACTGATACAACTGGCAACCTGCACGATCAAATACCAAATTTGGCTTTTGATTACTTTGGCGCTGTGGTTGTCTGAAATGTTTCTTTTAATGTAGTCACATGAGATCCCCGGGTTTCTGTCTCTGCTTTGACTTCTTGACCAGCCATCCTCATGCTCTTTGTTTTGGTCTCCAGCAACAGCTGAGTGGCTCTCCAATGCCTTGTCCTCAGGAGGTACTTCATTCCATGTAGTACAGGAATGTTCCTACCATAGGCAGGAACATAATTATGTTTCACCAAGAGATCTATGAGATTCCTATCCAGCTAGATCCTGCTGATGTCACTACCACCCTATTTTTAATGTCTTACCTACCACCTTTGTTTTACTTCCTCAAGATTGAAGGACCTGGGTGGCAGCGCCTGATGTGCCCAGATGAGGTCAAGGGAACATGGACTGGCTGCCAAGTGATGAAGAAAAACAGGATCTTTCCACTTGGGTTCCTGCAGTGGGAGGCCAGGGGCATTCACCAAACCAGAAAGGTAGCCTGGAAGAACTTCTTCAGAGTTCAGGCACTTCGTAAGAGTACATTTGTTTGATGAATATCATTGCTGTCCTAGCTTTCTCTTTTTAAAACCTTTTCTGATATTTTACAGAATTCTAGAGGAGGAGACTTAATTCCTATGATTTGCTGTCAACCTATAATTCTTCCTTAAAACTTCTTTTTAATTTTGAGAAATTAAAAATATTTAAAGATAAAAATAAAAAGAAAAACTTAAGCATCCACATTTATATCACCCAGATTTAGCTACTGTTAATTTCTGGATATATATGCTTTAAGTCTTCATTTTTCCTTTTTTTTTTTTTTTTTAATAAAAGAAGTAACCATTGCAGCTGGGGTGGGGCCACAAATTATCAATGCCAATTGTATTCAATTTAGAAAAATATGATGTTTCTCTCATTCAACAAACATCTAGGCACCAGGCACTGCCCTAGATATTAGAGCTACAGCAGAGAACCAGACAGATGAGAAACTCCCAGGTCTCAGAGAGTGTACCTGTGAGTGAGAGATATTACAAGATGGTCGTAAACGCAAAAGAGAAAAACACAGTAGGGAATGGGATCCTAGAGCAGCAGGAGAGGTTTAGAATTGATGGCCAGGAAAGGTTTCTCTAGAAGGTGCCATCTGAATATAGGTGGGGAGATGAGAGAGGTAAAGAAACTCTGCTGTTGCTGGAGTGCAAAACAAATCGCAGTCCCTCACTATAACATAATGAGCATTACGGTAAAGTCATTAAAGATATCCCTGTGCACACAGATTTCTGGATGATTATGGATGAATGGACAGATGGATGGATGGATGGAGAGAAAAATACAGCTAGAAGATACAGTAAAAATGGATTCAAATTATAAAACATTTAAAAAATAATCATAAATTATTTAGTACTTACTTTTATCTCTGGATATCTGTATGTCTGGATATAAACATAAATTTAGCATATAGTATAGGGCATATTTTTATAAGTAGTTTGAGCTTTTAGAAATATGTGTAATCTTTATATCAATCACCCACATCCAGATTTGGAATTACATTAAATCTATAAATTAACACTGGTATTGTTTCTAAGAGTAATCCAACTCAATTATAGGCCTCATCCCTCCACTTATAGTTTCTCTTGTTAACATTTCAGTTTTTTGTGTGTGTGTGGAGTTCTTAGAAGTCTTTGAGTAGACTTTGAGGTATCTGCCGTTCCTTGCTGCTGCTGTAATTGTTATTGATTTCATAAATTCAATTTCTAATTGTTAGAATATAGAATTAATTCTATTTGTGGACCTTGTATTCTATAACCTTGCTAAATTCACACTGTTTCTAATAGCTTGTTATCAGTTTTCTACATACACAATGTCACCTGTGAATGTCAATTTTGTTTCTCCCTTTTAATCCTTAAGCCTTTTATTTCTTTTGGTTACAAAGACTAGAATTTCCTGTACAAAACTGAAAAGGAAAGGTTAACAGTGAACACTTTTTTCCTAATCCTGGGAAGTAAAGTTTTCAAAGATTCACAGTTAAGTATGATATTTGCTACAGTCTCTTTGGTATTCTTTTATTAAGAAGTGCTTTTCTGGGAGGTGCCTGTGGCTCAGTGAGTAGGGCGCTGGCCCCATATACCGAGGGTGGCGGGTTCAAACCCAGCCCCGGCCAAACTGCAACAAAAAATAGCCGGGCGTTGTGGTGGGCGCCTGTAGTCCCAGCTACTTGGG